AAATATTTTTTTTTACAAAATATATATATATATATATATATATATATATATATATATATATATATAAAATAAATTTAGGGTAAAAGATTTTTTATCCCTAAAATAGTATTTTAGTTTTATTTTTCACTCTCATGTATCAAAATAATCAAACATAATAACTCCTAAGGATGATTTATTGAAAAAAAAAACTTTTTTTATTTAATTAAGTAGTTAATTCATTAGAATGTAAACGAATGACACATAAAAAAATATTATAATCATAAAATAAAACTTAAGATAAATAAATTTTAATATATGATATAGATTCAGTAGTGATTAACTTAAAATATCTTCTCTTATCATAAATAAAATAAAATAAAATAAAAAATTTAGGGTATCTTAAATATTAAAAAATTTGTTGACAAGAATTATAAAGTATATAAGTGATGATTCATTATAATTATTATTTTATAAAATTTACAAAAACTTAATAATATTATTAAAATATTATAAAATATCACTTTAGTGATATTTTTAAAAATATTGTTATTAATATGTAAAAAGTTGTTAAAGATCTTTTACAATATAGACTTTATCTTACAATTAGTTAAATATCACAAAAATATATTAATAATATTCATTCATAATTTAGTAATATTTTTTTAATTTTTTAAAAACATATTTTGTTGTAGTGCCATATTTATACTTATCCTTATTTGTTGCCTTTATTTCGTCCAATAGCTTCTTAATTAATTAATCTTAATATGAATCATCCTTTTTTTTTTCTTCCCTCCACTACTTCTCCTAAAATTTTCCAACATGTAGATTTATGTTCGAGAGAGAATGAGATCCTTTTTCTATGGAGGTCGTGATTAATTTTGAATTGGATCAGTTCATAGAGCAGAAAGTACTAGATTTTTCTCGGTACAGCTCTAAGTAGAAATTTGCCTAATCTATGTATAAAGAAGACTTCTTTATAGGAGTTAATTAGGGCTAGAATTTTGTCTCTTATAGGATGGTATAGTGTGCAATAATAATGTTTTTCGATGGGAAAAGGCGGGTTTTAGTAATTTACATGTTACAAAAACTTTAAATTTCAATTTATATAGTGCTTTGGCTAGGCCTTGACAGATAATGGTTGTTCTAATTCATTTTGGAAGAAACTGGAACCAAATTCTGCTCCTGTCAACTTGAAAGACCAAAGCAGTTAGTGTAGCCAACCAAAACCTACAAATCTGCATAATGCTCCTTTATTCGTGTTTTAATTTCTTGTTTCTATCTTACAAAATTTATGGTTTCCTATATATTTTCAAATTTGTAAAGTAAACATTGAATTTGAAAAGTACAAGCGAGAGGGAAGAGGGCAAGGGGAGGAAGAGAGAGGAACTCACGTTCAGTGAAGACATATTTTTCGCATAATTCCATTAATGTCAGTAAGGACAAAATGTATACATGAAGCCGAGCCCGCATGTTAGCAATATGGGTACAAATCATATTCCTCAACTGTGCAAACATGGCTGACACTGTACAAGTAACAGGATCCAACTGTTCCAGGAGAGAAACGACAAAGACATGTTACTTTCTATCCTCAACAATTGTATTATTAATAAATATTTTATGTGATCTATGTAATTTTAGAACTTTTATCAGTATAAAAAATAAAAATGGTTACAACTTACAACTTACAACTGCCATTGGATATTTATTAGGTATCAACTGTCTGACCGATATTTAAGTTATATATAATTATATTCTTTTTATTGTAAGATGGATTATCATCGCATACTTGATTAGTAATATATTGCCATTGACATCATCAATCCGGAGGATATTAGATGCTAGGAAACATCCTTAAAACCACTGTACAAGATGATGAGTTTCGATTTTGACAAGCTGATCATAACAAGTGACGAAAATATTTGTTGAACAATTAATTAGTGAAGTTAATGAAATTTCTTTAGGTCACTTAAATTCATATTTTTGCTGTTAGCATAGATTTGTTGTCTCACTAGCTAGCTAGCTTAATCTAATTATGTGTTTCTCACTTTACAGATTACAATTAACCATCAAGTCTGTATTTGTTTTCATGATGGAAAGTTTTACACTTGATTTTTCTTCTTGTCAAAAGGTGATGGAAAGTTTCTTGTAAAAATACTTATGTTTGATTATTGTTAAGTAAAATTAAGTGTCTCCAAGTCCAAACCTTAAGTGATTAAAAAGAAGATTTTACATTGAGTTAAAAATATATATGCTATTTTAAATTTTACATGAAACTTGGTAAGCCCCTTGCATTTTATGCTATTGAAAATCCTCGATGACTGAAATGTTAAAGTTTAGTGTGAAAGGTGTCTGGACAAATATATGTCGACACTCAACTACATATCCACTAACTTTCTTTATGTCAAAACGTATATCTTTTAAGATGAGAGCCATTCATCTGAGTTTTTGATAATTTGTACAGGCTTTATATTTTGGACTTATATGTTACAAGGAGTGGAAAATGATTAGAAAAAAAGCATGGAGTCGTGGACCATATGAATTTGTTTATGCTGAGAGCTAGGTCTATGTGTATTAGACTAGGTAGTGGTTGTGATAGAATTAAAGATTGATAAGGACTAACATGTGATGAAACTAGCTAGGGTGGAATTGAAGATGGAAATAGGGTTCGTAACAAGGTAATAGGTGGCAGACAGAAGAGTGAAGCTAGTTGACCACAACAGACAAAGTCATCTCGTAGGATATTGGAAGATGAGGTGTTACCACTTTGTCCACCTATCTTCCTCGACTGGAAGTGGGCATTGAAATTTTATAACGACAATGTTCTGAATAGAAGAATTCAATTTTGTTCTGTGTTATTAACAGCACAAGATATAATTGCGCCACTTTTTTTTTTATCATGATATTATATCGATTTTGTCAGAAATTTTTATTTTATTATATTATCATAGTGTAATTAATTTTAAGAAAAAAATAGAACAGTAATGATTGACCACTTAGCTAATCAATTGATATCATAAGAAGCAGTAAGTTTTTGGTCTGAAGCGTTCTTAAATCTTAACCCAGTAGAGGCCCAATAAAACCGTTAGCTGTGGGTCAATAATCAATATGGCCCAATGAAGCCACGCTGTGAAGTGCGAACCAGACAGACTAACCTCTTCCTGAAGAACGAAACTCTATTCTATTCCTTGGCAGGGAATGGGCTTCCTATGCACAAGTAGAAGCAAGTGTGGGATTGGTAAACGTCCCAATTCACATCTTATATATAAAGAACAAAAATATATATTGGCCACCTATCCCAACACATTTAGTAGGATAATTGAGCCCATTTGTTTTAACAAAATTCTATAAATAAATAAAAAAACTTTTGGAGATGAAATTTTAAGAAAGTGTTTTTTTATATTTGTAACCAAAGACAAAATAAGTCACTTCTTTTTCCATCATTTTTAAGCTAAATCAATGTTTTTACCTAGTCTACTAATTTCCTATTCCATAACTCATGTTTGATGTGCTTCTATATTAAATTAAAAATATTTTTTATTTTATATTAATTATTTAAGCAAACAACTTTTTTTAACTTCATATAATATAATCAAATACCTTACTTTGTTTTTAAATTATTAGCATAATATACTATTTATTAATTATTATTGAAATAGTATTCTATAATCGAGCCATTTTTCTAAGATTTTTAAATGTTTGTCTTTTGTTTCAATTAAGTATTTAAAACATTTTTAATTTATTTTTATGTATTTATAAATATCCCTATAATGCATAATATCCTTGTTATTTATTTTCAAGTGTCTATTTTAGAAGAAAATGTGTTTTTTATTTTAAAATCTAAGACTATTAATTATTATTTTATCAATTATATCCTTATTTTATATATTTTATTTAAAATATTTTAAACTGTTAAAGTGTAGATTGATCAATTGAATCTTTCACTTGACATAATGGAATCCAAATCCTTCTCGGTTTTTAATGTTTTTTTGCTTAGGGACATAAATTTATGTGCATGATTTTAATGACAAAATAATGGGGGTAAAATATATATAATCATTGATCTATTAAAAAAACTTAATAAAATTTTGTTTTACAATTAAAAAATTAAATTAGATTTGTTGATTATACGAATTATATTTCTTCTCCTAGTGTATCAGGTTCAGTTTGTTTTGGATAAGAAATGTTTATTGTTTTTAATTAGCTAAAAATATTGAAAACATTATTCGCAAACTAGTTACTGCTGGTTTTCAATTTAATAACAATATTTATACATTTTTTTTTCATTATACCCTTCTTTCTCTGCCTTTTGGACAATAAATAAAGGACAAACTTCTTTTACTTTATTTTCTGATTAAAAGTATAAAAAAAGATATAATTATTTTATATACAAATAACAATAACATGTTATTTATCTGTATGAAATTGGGTTCGAAACATTAAATAAGGTCTAAGATTTAAGCTTTGTGAATTAAAAAAAAAATTTAAAAACAGAAATTTTATTAAAGATGGTCTCGATCAGATTTTTCAGCAAAATTTCCATCCAAACACACTATTATAGTAATGTAGAAATAGGAAATTCTTCTTTTGATCGATGCATTGATGTTATTTTCTCCACAATGAGTTTTTATTTTTTTTAATTTAGTATACAGATTGCAACGGCTTACTGAATTTTCATGAGTAATGCTGTAATTTAGAGTTTGTCTATAGCATGAGTGGGGTTGTACTCCACAACATACATACAACATTGAACATTATACATTACACAAGAACAAAATCATAGAATACTTGTATTGCATGCATGTTGATAATGAGCTAAAAAAAAGGAACAAAAACCAAAATAGGAAGGGCCTGTGATGAGGTATGAAAAGCAACGAAGATTTTCATCTGTGACATGGACCTAATTGGCCATCACCATAAGACCTTGGTTAAGTTTTGCTGTTAATTCCTTCCGCAGAATTTTGCCTGAGGCTGCTTTAGGAATAGACTCCGTGAAGAAAACTTTACTGATTCTTTTGTAAAATACCACCTGCCAAAAACACATGCTCATTAATATTATGTCTCTTATTTTTAATTTCAAAAGGCTTATAACCATAATTGGAGGAATCTTGTAAGTTTACTCACTGGGAAAATAAACAAAACAAAAAGATAAGAGGGAAGAACAATACTTAAACTAGTGCTACCAAGCAAATATCCAAGTGGAACGATACAGTCCAACGAAACCCTCAATTTTTATTAGTGACATTTTAATTCCAACCTCACCTATTTGTTCAACAACTCATCATTGTTTCTTAAATGATACATCATCCGTTCATCAAATCATTTTTAATTGTCGCTTTTTTAAGTAATTTCTTTTTTATAAATATTTATCATTTTCAAATTTCAAAATAACATTAATTATTATATTATCCATTATGCTTTTCCATTTTATCTAACTTTTAATTAATTTATACATCATAACTAATATTATGAAATAAAAATAAAAGAGGGTGTAATAAAAATATACTAAAATTATTTTATAAAAAATAAGAAATTTTATTATATTTTTTAGTTTGTGTAAAACAACTACTATTAACTTAAAGGAAACATACACTTATATTCTCGAATAAATGATTAGATGCCCCTAAATCGTTAGTTGTGACCAACTGACAATGTAAAAAAAATTTACACGTGTCCTGTTAATTTGGTTTGAGCATATTCTTACACGCCAACAAACGTTGACTTAAGCTCATATTTCATTTATTATATTTTTAAAAACTACAGTAATAAATTTTTATATGCTTTATGGAAGAAAAAAAAAATCATTTCTTTTCAAACATGCCTTTAACACGTGGAATACTACACTAGTAAGTCATGAGCGACGGTGATCATTTCTAGAAAAATTACGATAATAAATGTTAACGCTGATTTAGATTCCATTTATATTCATATAGATGTCTTGATTTGTAAACATAGAAAGAACGAGCGATAAAAAATTATAGGAAAAGATAAATCTATGTAAAGTGAGCATAGAAAAAAAAATGTCAAAATAAGTAATTAACATTTTTTCTCTATTAAAAGTTAAAATAGAAAAAGGAAAAAGGTATATAAGTTGGTGACACCAACATTTTATATATTTATAAACTTTAGATTAGTATGTGTATGTGTACTTTTTTGGCAAATGCTAATTAGTGGCTTAAAATTTAAAATGCTAGTTGGGGAATTAAAATACTAAAATGTTATTAATACATTTTTATGATAATTTTGAACAGATTAATTATTAATCTTCTAAAAATTATAGTATATTTGAAAATAGAGAAATATTAAAATGACCCTTAAACACCTCATATGCTCTCCAATAAAAAAAGGAAAGGAAAGAAACCAATTATTTTGGTAAAGAGAACCTGTTGTGAAATGTATTGCTTGATTTCATCCTCGGTGATCTTAGAACCATTTGATCTTACAACAAATGCAACTGGAACTTCTCCGGCAGCTTCATCTTTCATCCTGAAATTAACCGACACCCATGATATAATATTAGTGATTTTTAGAATTGTGAAACATAAAAGTCAGAAGAAAAAATAATGTAGGTTGTTGGGCTTATTGTTTTTATACAAGGTTGTTGGGCTTTGAAAGACATTAGGTAACCAACTTACCCTACAACGGCGGCATCAGAAATGTTTGGGTGGGAAATCAACAACGATTCGAGCTCAGCAGGAGCTACTTGGAATCCTTTGTATTTGATCAATTCCTTTAAACGATCCACAATGAAGAGTTCGTCATCATCATCCATGTAACCTATATCTCCTGTGTGTAACCATCCTTCTTTGTCTATAGTTCTCTCTGTAGCCTCTGGGTCATTTAAATATCCTGACCAACCACAATTCCAACATTTAATTTTCTGTCAAAATAAGCTCAAATGTTTTTTCATAATGTCATGTTAAGAAAGACTAATGCCATTTTTAGGTTTTTCGAGTTTTACATTTTTTGTTTTATCAATTACACATTTTATTTTATATTGCCCCTTAATCTCATGCCAAAATGATGCGACTCTTGGTAGCTGCAGTGGTCCTGTGGAGCACAATGAGTGTGTGGCATACACGAACTATATTATATAATCAGATAAGTGTGACTATTTGGAATAACTAATGTAAATTCGTCATTGTGAGAAAAACGAGTAAAATGAGTTAGGTGAGGATGTGGACTTCGTCGAGTGGTGAGCGACCGAAGACTAAAAACGATGCTGCCATGACTTTCCATTTCAACTTAAACTTTCACGTACAAGTTTCCTCACCTATCATAAGTAGATCGACGCCTTCAACTTTCCATCTTAAACCGCTACACGAGGCGTATATATAAGGGAGAAAAACTATAAAGTTTGTTTCACACAAGCATTTTGACATTTTGGCCTTTGGTGTTGAATTTATTATTTAGATATTTCATGTATGTAATTATTCCATTTGGTGGGTATTTCTTTGTTCATTAGTCATTACAATTTACAACCCATACAAGTTTTAGCAAAATTTCACCGAGGGTAAGGAAGTTTCTTAGAACACATAGAGGGAATCAAGGATTTTAAAACGATGCAAGATGAATTGAGGCAGAGTTGGCTTGATTATTATTTTTGTACACAAATTAAATAAATAAAACAACATGCGATACTCCTTTCATACAAGCGTTGACCATAATAAATTCAACTGATACATATATAACACCTACTTAGATATTATTCAATACTTCTTCAACACAGACGAATTGCTTCAAAACCAAAATGAGTTTCTAAAGCTTTAATTCGGCCAATTTACTTCGAATTATCATGATGAATCATTAAAGCGTTAAGGCGTATTCAACAAGCTATATATTGAAGTTGTAAGCATGCATGTGCTGCCACAGATTTTTTATTGCAGAATATATGCAATCCTGTGAATATGATCTGATCACATTATCTCATACCTCCTTTAACGGAGTGGAGGAAGTGAGGAGCCAAAATAATCATGTCACTGTTACCTATTGCTAGTGCGCACCACTTTTTTAGTTTTTTTTAATATAAGAATCTGATCATACTTTTAAAGATTTTATTCATATTCATCTCTATAATTTTAATTTTGAACATATGTTACTGGGTATTAAAAAATATGCATATATCTCAAACTATGTATAACAAAAAGAATTACTGTAAAAATAGTATAACAAAAGATTATTTGAAATTTTTAAAACATAATAAATAATACAATACAATTCAAAAATAATTTTAACTTATTTATTTATACATTATATACATAATAATTAAGTATTAACCCTCTCTAGTTACTGTCAATGGTTGGTGGCTAAAAAAAAGATGCTTTGCGTTTGGGACAGCAGAAATTGTGTGGACTTCACACTTTGAATGGGTGTGGCACCCAAATTTACCATCCGCACTTCCACAGAAGCATATATATAAAATATAAATATTATATTAATAGTGTTCTAAAGCAACCAATTCGGGGCCCAATCTTTTGTCCCACCAAACTCAACCACTCCACTTAGACTTTTAAAAGTAACAACAAATAAAATCTCAATTTTATATATATGACTAAAAATTCATTTTAAAACTATTAATAAAAATACTGATTATGTTATTTAATTTTTAAAAAATAGTATACTTAAAACTATTGTACGGTTAATCAAGTATTAATAATAATAACTCGAATAACCTTAATTATAATTGAAACTTAGATAAATAAGTATTGAGAGCGAATTATATAATTATAACATGACGTTTGGTATAGTCAAGAATTTCTAATAATATCTGGGTTTAATATAATAAAACTCGGAAAGATGATTATTATTGGTTATATAATATAAACAGTTAATTAACAAAATAAGTAACTGTCTTTATTTTTTTTAGATATACGATATGATAAAAAAAAAATTAACTTAATATCGTTGGAATTTTTTTTCAAGTAAACACCTTCCAAAAATTATTACAAACATCGGAAGGTAAAGACTAGAAAGAAGAGTTGATTCAGAGAAATCAACCAGCTTTCCAAAGTTGTTATTTCTTATCATCATTTCGCGGTAAGAACAAGCTATCAAATCATAAGGTAATAATTACCAAATTCCTTGCGAATAAAAATAGAGTTTGTTCTCCTACATGGACATCCAAATATGAAAATGACACTTGATATTAAGATGTTTAACAAACAAGAATAATCAACGTAAGTATAGTTTTTGTTTGAACATTTTCATGGATGAGAGAGGACTATCTCAGATAATTATTATGACCAAATGTTTCACTCTGTTCATAAGATAGTGGGCGTCATCACTATATAAATATTTGTTGCATGTGGTTTTCTACTTTTCTTAATCGCCCTATATTTATTTTCTTTATTAAACTCCAATCGCAAGCCGCAAGTTGTGAACCACATATTAAAGGTAAAGATAATTAATAATGAGACATGAGACATGAGACAGATGTAGCAGTATATTGTTTTGTGATGTTAAGGGTTAATACATACCTTTCATAACCTTTGTGCCTCTTATGCAAATTTCACCGGGTTGGTTTCTTGGAAGGGAAGCACCAGTTTCGGTGTCGACGATTTTCATCTCGGCGTTTCTGACGACGGTTCCGCATGCACCTGATTTTACCTTTGTGGGTTCTTTTGCAAATGCCATGCTGATCGTAAGTGGTCCTGCTTCTGTCATCCCATATCCCTGTACGTCAAACATTACATTTTCCTTTTTAGATTCAATTTTTTGCTTTTTTTATAACTATGCCTTCATTTAATAATTATATGATCACGATCACCACAATATAACGCTCATATTTTCTATATTTTGCATTTTAAAGTTCAAAATACAAGATTTTTTCATCACCTTAAATTCAATTTGAAAAATTACGAAAGATTATTAAAGTTTTAAAAACAATAAGGTAAAATAAATCATGCAATATGATATCAGTTTTCAAGTCTGCCCAAGAGTATGAGAGAGACTTTTTATTTTAAAGAAAAGATTTATATGTTGGACTTTTTTTTATAAAAATTACTAGTTTTTTTTTTTGCTACTAAATTTAATATATTTATCCTTGAACTAACAATACAAGTGCCAATTAATATTTTTTCACTTATTTAAAAGTATTTATTACCCTCGTTTAATTTGATAAATTAATTATATAAGTGCTAATTCATATCGTTTTTACTTATTTAAAAGTATCTATTGCTACCTTCTTTTGGTACATTAATTATATAAGTGCTAATTAATACTCTTTTCACTTATTTAAAAGTATGTATTACCTTCATTGGGTACGTGAAGTTTTAGAGCAAGGGAATGATATCCATATCCATATTTCATACTAGACCATACATATAGTGAATTAAGAATTTGTTTGTTTATATTTTTCATTAAAAATTGTTGATTAAACCAGTAGAATTTGTACCGGTTAATTCAATGCTCAATGATACACTTGAATGTTTTAATTGCATTTGTTTAAGATTTTGAAGTAAAAAAGAATTTAAAATAAGAACAAAATGTTAATTATTTTGATCTAGAAAATTTTTAAGGAAACGTGGTTAAAAAGCGCGAAAAATAAGGCAAAAGCATATACATGAAGTAAAGTTTGATTAAAGTGAGAGATGGGCTTAAAGAATAGGTTTGGGTAAATGCGGTGATGTGTAGATTTGTTTGAATTCATTGTAAAGAAGATTCCAAAAATAAATAATGATATGAAGAAAAAGGAAGGAGGAATTAGAATGATGTGAAGAATAAGCAACAGTAGTTGCGATAGTTTCCTAAATTGAATTTATAGATAGAAATAGTTATGAAGAAAAAAGACCTGTCACCTGTCCAAAGGTGGCGTGGGGTAGCCTAGCCTCCAAGGCTTCTTGGAGGTCCCTTCCCAAGGGTGCAGCTCCGGTGATGACAGCGCGAATAGACGACAAGTCGTATCGTTGCGCTTCTCCGCTCTTAACCAACGCCAAAACGATGGGAGGCACAAACGACGCTACCGTCACCTTGTACTTCTCAATCACCTCCAGAACCCAAGTGATCTCAAATTTGTGCAGAATGAGCACGGCCGCACCCGCGCGAATCCCGCAGAGCAGAATCGAGTTCAGCGCATAGATATGAAACATAGGCAGCACGCAGAGGAGCACGTCCTCGCTGTGAGTGTATTGATGGGGGTTTTCGCCGTCAACTAACTGCGCCACAGTCGTCACCAAGTTTTTATGCGAAATCATAACCCCCTTTGGCAGCCCCGACGTGCCGGAAGAGAACGGGAGCGCAACCACGTCGTCCGGGTTAATCTTAACGCCCGGGGCTTCCCTTTCGTCGGCGTTAGTCAGCCTAGAGAATTCCAAAACGCCGTCGTGTTGGGGTGAGTCAATGCACATCACCATCACCTCGTTGCTATCCGCGAAGCTCTTCACTTTCTCCACGTACGCCGCCTGCGTTATGATCAGTTTCGTTTTGGTGGCGGTGGCTTGCTTCGCCAGCTCCGGCGCCGTGTAGAAGGGGTTGGCGGTGGTCACGACGGCGCCGCGGTGGGAGATGCCGAGGAGGGCGAGGGCGAACTGGGGGCAGTTGCGGAGGAGGAGCATGACCACGTCGCCCTGCCGGATGCCGAGGCGGTGGAGGCCGGCGGCGATGCGGCGGGCGGAGAGGTCGACCTCGGCGTAGGTGAAGGTCTGGCCGGTGTCGCCGTCGATGAGGCAGGGACGGTGTTGGAATTGGGAGAGGTTTTGGAAGCAGTAAGAGTGTAACGGAAGGTGTGTGGGGATGGGAATGTCGGGGAGCTTGGAGCGGAAGATGAATTCTTCTGGTGCCATGTTGATTACGTAGTGTTTAACTTTTGTAGGTTTGGTTGAGAAGGGTGGCACCGTGGAAGCATTTATAAGTGTGTACGGTTGTTGTTGCCGCTTGCTCGTTACATCAGGAGTTGTTGAGACAGTGACAGGGGCACCAACTTCGACACGTTTAATATCAACTACGAAGATCTTCTTCTATTTCTATACCAGTTATTTTTATTTTCTTTTATGGATCAAATTATCATTCCATCAAATTCTGGTTTTGGTAAGACTAGGAATCTTTATAGTATAATATTATGTTTCAGTTTCACTATCCATATGTTTTTTTTCAACATTCATATTTAATATATATATATATATTATTTCTCAATAAATCATAAATTATTGTGAAAAAAATTATTGTAAAAATCAACAAACATATTATTTATATCATTTATGTAATTGGATATGTCATATGTGTAAAATTATTTTAGAATCAATAAACTTTTTTTCTTAGTGTGTAATTGGAAGACAGAAAATAAATAAATAAGAAATAAAGTAAAAAAAATTAATAGAAATAGATAAAAAAAAAATAAAGTAAAACTTTGATTGTTTAATAAAGATAAATAGATGAGAAATGGGTAATAAATATATGAAAAATAATATATATATATATATATATATATATATATATATATATATGTATAAGAATGAG